GGGTACATAAACACTCTTCACAGGACTAGAACCCGAGTATTGTACTCAGGTAGGTTCGGGCTTGGCAGGGACCGTACTGGTACTGTCGTGTCCGTTCCCTCGGCTCTTGTGGAGCTTATATGTAGATGGTAAGCGGGTCTCTTCGATGGGGTTTGGCCCTCATAGTCCCTGTGGCTGGGACTGACAAAGTAAAGCAAGGCACCGATTCTGAATAATCCGTAGCCAAGAAAGTGGTGCCCCGAGGCGAAGGTGACTTCGTATCTTTTTTGACTTCGTTATTAGATTTTCACCTTGCTGAGGCATTGTATAAAGCCGGGCCGGGACTGTGGGATCTGCGCCGCCACTGATGAGTCCCTTCCAGAGCCCGCTCAACTAAACTTTGTATGGAAACTCCGGGCCGAAGGTTCGGTTTCTGGTGCACGTGGTGCACGTGCTTGCCTTAGTGCTTGCTGAAAATAACCTTGACCAGCAAGGTCGCTGGGCAGGGCTCTCCAACCAGCTCGGGATGTTGACGATCTAACGCGCCAGTTGGACAGAATTTGGCACGATATCTCTCAGGAGGACATCCGCAACCTCTATCAATCGATGCCAAGCCGAAAAACTGCTTGCATAAGGGCCAGAGGTGGACAAACGCCTTACTGACTTTTTCATTTTGTGAAGCTCAATCACTTCAATAAATCATCCAATTTTTCTCAAACTGTAATCATTTGTTTTTCTGTACACGTACATCACTTCTACCGATTTTCGTCCCATTCGAATAACCCCTTCTTGGTGCGTCGTTTTTTTTTTTTTTTTTTTTTTTTTTTTTTTTTTGTCTAAGAATGTATATCTATAATAAACTCCAACTGATTCTTCTGTTTTTAAAAAGGGAGTTTAAACAATTTTCATCAGAATAACTCCCGCAGATCAATATTATATGTAGATAGTAATTAAATTTTTGCTTATATAAAAAATATGCAATAAATATTATTTAGCATAAACATTCTTAATGAAAGCATGCAATTATTCATAGTTCTTAAAAATATGTATTAATGCAATAAAATTGTACATGTATAACTAGTTATTAAAATTAAGACTGTTTTTGTAATCAAACTATAGTTTTATTACGGGACAAAAGGATAAGTACAAATTGCACAAAATCATTGTAAAGACATATTCCCTCGTTTACAAGTTGAACTATGTTCAAGTATTGCTACTAGTGCAAAGCTGTGCTTGTAATTAAAAAACTAAGGGATGAACTATATCATCAGTTAGGCAAAATTAATTTATCATTATTTAAGAAAAATTTTTAATTAAAATTAAACATTCTGATTGTCCGCCCCCCTTTTTTTTTTGTCACTGCTAACTTAGAGGTTGGCATTCACTTAAGGTCGAGCGTAGGCATTTGTGTGCATCAGTACCGTAAATTTAAAGAGACATTTAAATTTACATTTTAAAAAATATATTTAAAGAAGTCTGAAAGCTTTTAGATTTTAGATTACGTCCAAATGGCGTTTTTCTAATATATTTTGTGTAACCTTTATTTATTAAACATCATGTTCTCCACACTCAAACCATAAAATTCAGTTCAACATCAATATCACAAGATAATTTTAAAATGAACATATCTTTAGAACTTCCGATACCTAGTCTCGCGCGCTGGAGATAAAAATGTTTTACTTTCCTAAATTGTTACCATTGCTCTCTTCGAAATAGTTGAGTTTGTTAATAAAAAATTCGTTAAAGTTATACAAAATATGAAATAGATAATAAAACAGATTTCAAATTTGGGCTTTCAGATGCCCATATTCGCAGAAGATTACGTCATTCAAAATTGGATGGCTCTAGGTACCGTTGTTTTATCACAATGCGAGAAACATATATACATTTATGCAGATTCTTCATTATTTAATTTCTTTAAATATAATACAGGGCTGTAATATTTGGTGGCAACAGTCAGAAAAGTGAACCGACATTTATCATGAATCAACGCAAAATGCTAACGCTATTAGGCTAACAAAGCATGCCCATGCACGACATAATTAACATACAGGATCAAAATCACTTCGAATCAACCAATGGTCATTAGTTTGGGGCAGTTTAGCAAATTCTGACATATTTTAAAATTAAAAAGAATTTTACAGGTGCTCGCACAGCAGATTTGTAACGGATGATCTGCAGGTTGGCGGTCAGTGCCGCACACCAATAGCTAATGGGTCATTAGTATGGAGCAGTGCAGCAAATTTAGACGTTGAAATTAAAGCAAAAATGAAGGACACCGTTACCACTGTTACCCGTTAAGGCTATTGATTCTGTTAACTACAGGTTGGCTATCACTGATTAATCTTTTTAATGTAAATTAATTTTTAGAAGGGTAAAGTATTAGTTTTAGAGTAAATTTAAATTAGTTTTTAGAAAAAACAGTATAGTTGGCATCGATGATCTACATGGATACTTATGGTCTGTTATTCGTAGTCTGCACGTAAATTCGGGGGGGGGGACAGTGCAGTAAATTTAAATTCTTTTAGATTAGGTAAATTCTTAAAATGAAATGAAGTCGATGGACACCGAAAGTCCATGGACACAGATGATCATTTTAGAGCACGTTGTTGCCGTTACAAATTTGACAAAGCAGTGCATGAGAAGTACTTTGTAGCGTAATGTAGCCATAATGTTGCAGTTCAAAATTTCTGGAAAGATACTGCTAAAAACGTTTCTCATGGTGTACAGATATTACGTATTTTGGAAACAGAAGACGTGAAAAATGAGCACTGCCTTCGCCGGGACTCGAAACACGCACCCCTCGAATACGCGTTGAGTTTGCTGACTACTACACCACGAAGGCGTGGGAAGAAGGCTGGAGAAATACCTTATACACTCTCCATTTTAAGGGCGAGTGGGAATTAGGGGACCCAATCGCCATATCCTGGTGGTGGAGAATCATCATTTACCACCCTTTTAGTTCGAGCGCCACTGTCATTAGGTTATCACACCCTTATAGTCATTACGTTATTTCGAAGCAGGAGACATGAAAGTTGAGCAATGACCTCGCCGGGACTCGAACCTCGGAGTTCTCGAATACGCGCCGAGTGTGCTGGCCATTACACCACGAAGGCATGCTAAGAAGGCGAGAGAAATACGTAATAATGGTAAAAATCATGAAATACAAAGAACAAAATAAATCAGCATTTTCTGTTTTCATACTGACCTTTTTTTTTTTTTTTTTTTTTTTTTTTTGAAGGGGAAGAAAAAAAAAGGTGTTTTAGATCTTTCAGAAGGAAATCTTGAGAAATGAATTATTTATTAACTGAGGAATTATCAACCATGAGAAAGTAAAAAGTGCTGGAAATTTTAGTTGGGATGTCTTCCTCAAAGTAGCTGTACTTTCACCTACTTTGAGAAAATAAAATAAGAGCACATTTCATGAATGTACACGTTTGTCACAAAATGAGTTGTAATAAATCCAATAACTTTTATAACATTTAATGAAATGGTAATTTTTTTCTATGCACCGCACAGAGGTATCCGTAACGTTGCCAGATTCTCACTTTGTATTTCCAGTTACTGTAGAAAGTGACGAATCTTAAGAACTAATTAGCGAATAATCGCTTAAGTTCGTGTAACAAGAAACAACAAGATGGAAGGGTAACTAACCCTTTATTATTCCAATAAGATTTAACAAAACTCCGTCTTGGAGTTGTACAGTCAAAAGTCCGACACTTGGGCTTGAACTTAAGAGACTAAAAGTTAAACTAAAACTAAGATTAACTAAAGAGATATAGCAGAAGCTATCAAGATTCTAATCGAGTCGGCCCCTTAACTCTATTTGACTACGAAGCTTATCAAGGGCCTGTGTACGGCCGACCGTAATAACAGCTTTGAGAGAGAGAGTAGCCAAAGGCAGACGCGCGCAAATCAGAAACTTTGATTCTCTCTCACTCTGTAAGTAACTTCGCGGTTTAAATACCACTCCTCCTCATTAAGTATACAGAAAGATTCCAAAACTACGTTCTAGCCGGAAGTAGTAAATTAAGAATTTGACAGGAAAGGAACTTAAAATTTAACTGTTAATAAAATTAACATAATTCTTACAACGTGTTCATAGTTATATCGTGGCATAGCGGTGACAGCACTTTTATGCCAAAACATCATTGTGGAAGTTTCAGTCTCAGCGTAAATTTTACGGTAAGTCTTAGCGTAAGTAGTCGCGTTGAGTGTGTTAATCAAAAATTCATTAAAGGTTAACAAAATATGAAATAGGTAATAAATCAAATTCCAAATCTGGGCTTCCAGTTGCCCAAATTCGAGTGGAGAACTACGTTATTCAGAATTTGATGTTTCTAGATCCCGTTGTTTTATAACAGGGCAAGAAACATACATACATTCATGCAGATTCTCCATTATTCAATATCTTTAAATATAATGCAGTGCTCTAATATTTGGTGGCAACAATTTGAAAAGTGAAACGCCGTTAATAATGAACCAACGCAGAATGCCAAAACGAAATTTATAGCCCTTCTGGGCAAATTACTCCCTTGGGCTCAAAATTCTAAAATAATCTAGATAAATTAAAATGAAACTTAATTTGCTTGCCTTAAAAACAATCAGCATTCCAGATAATTGGAGATCTATCAAACTAAACAAGAGTTAAAAGATTATACTCAGGCATTTTAATTTAAAAAATTAAACAAAAATCACTACTTTTCCGTTAAAAATGTCTTTTAAATAGCCTGATTGCAAATTAACCAGAAATTAGAAATTTCGTACTCTGTTTTTATTTCGAAAATTCCTTTCACATTTAGACAAGTTATTCAAATAAGATCCCGTTATGAACGGAAATGCTAAGCTCTCCATAGCTATAGCGAAAACATTTTCATTTGAATTTCGAACTGCGCGTGTCTCATTTGATACTGTTACTTTTTCAGCCAATCATCGTCAAGGCGATGTTTTTTTCGATTCTGACACTGAATCGTTATTAAGTAACATTCGTATTAAATGCATTGCGAATCATGTCTCCTAGAAGAGTGCTGGCGTTAATTCTGTTTCTATTCTATTCGGTGTTAGCAGTTAGTGAAGAAAAAGATTTATTAGGTGATGTGATGAATGCACTGTTTCGCGGTTTACAGTACATGGAAGATCACGTCTCAGAAATAAATTTAGATGGAGCATTTGGCTGCAGGCTTATTGAGGGTAAGTTTATAAAAAATAATTTAAATTTAAAAATGCATAACGCTAATTAAATGTTTTTAACACTAAAAAATCATAACTTACTTCGCTTTCTTTTATAAATACTATTTTAAAGCCATATGTTTATGTGTTTTTTAAATAGATTTTGTTAAATAACCCGATTGTGAATCAGGAAAATAATTGTTAAATTTATTTAAATGTAACAAGAATATGATTTATATCTTTATTAAAATATATTTTTTCCTCCATATAAATTATGAAAAGAGCACTCAGTAAAGATATTGTATTCCTATGATAAAGTTGCAATATTACTTTTGCTGATGATATATGAATGCACGAGAACATTTTCTTTGGAAAATTTCTATCAAAATTGAAAGTTAAGTCTGAGGAAATAAAAATCTCACCAGGGATTTTTACATATGTTTCTATGAAATGCAGGTATCTGCTTAAAATTATATTTAATGAGAACTTTACATTTGTACATTGGCAATCAAAATTAAAGGATAAAGGCAGAAATAAAAAGTAACTCATACTTCATGAAACATTATTAACCCTTTCCGGCACGCTACCTTTTAAAGTCGGAGTTTTGGTTAAAAAAAAAGGTAGGCAGTGTAATTAGTCCTAGAGGAGTACACAAGTAAAATTTTGTGAAGATAGCACTTATCGTTTTAATTCTGTGGGTGTACCCAAAATGGCACACTGATTGAATAGAGCTTCGAAAAGAGTGCTGAAACGAGCATTGTTGTCAATGAACTGACCGATGAGATGCGGCGAAACAAAGAATACAGACTCTCAGTTGTCCCAGATTATCGGTGAGCCCGGTCTGGGCACACCTAGGGTTCGCCGTTTGATTTTAAGCAAGATTTCAAGGTAAAAATTTAAAACTAATATAGAATAAAGAGATTATCATACAGCCAAAAAAAAAACACAGAATTTTTTTTCAAACAATTCCTTTTATACCCTAAAAAAATCTGGAAGATTTATTTGAAAAATGAGGGTTTTAAAAAAGTAAACATGGCTAAAATATATGAACTGATTTGTGTTCAGCTGCCATGTACTATAAATAAAGAAGGTTCAGAGTTAACCTATAGTAACCTGTAAATCCTTTTTCATTCAATTTTTCTGTGCGTACAGAAGGAAATTTTTAGGCGTGTCCAGACCGGACACACTGTGCCGCAAACGGTAATATGGTATTTGATCACCTCGGACAGATAAACATACTTCACATCTTGACTTCATAGACTTTACCAAAGTGTTGATCAAGTCTTGGGGATTGCATGCCAATGTTCTAAAAGGACACTTTTCAGCTCCTGGGGGATTTGGGAAGGAATTTGGCGCATTCAAATCCGGCACCCTAAGACATCCCGCTTCCGCTCAATCGGGTTCATGCATTACCTCTTACATCCAGTCAGTACATCCAGTCAGAAATATGCCGGACGCATATATGAAACTCTCGAAACTTTCTCGAATATGGAGAGTATACCTTGACTTTTTGCAAGAGAAATCCAAAGTTATTGTGTCTCACAAGCCTTCCCAGTCGATTCAGAAATGCCGGTTTTTTTAGTAGAGGACAAATATATTAAAATTAAATTTTTAGGCCCTCAAATTGACAAAAATTCACCTGAATCCCTCATCTAGAATATACACTGGCTTCCAAAAGTCAAGCAAGTTAGCAATTTTCGAAAGTGTAGTTGAATTTGAGCGGCTGAAAATTGCTACGGATGCAGATGGCAATATGTAAATATTGTATGTTACAGCCAATCACGACTGACTGTCTGAATATATGCTAACTAAGCATTCAGAAGGTATTGAGGAGGGTCATTTAAATGCTGATATGAAGTACTCAGAATTTTTCGATATTCGTGTTTCTGTGCTGGCAGAAGACTAATGGAAGATAGCGCTGTTGTGCTGTAGGATGCATTGAAGCAGGACAATTAATCAAAGATATATCTATTTTCCTTAGCGTAAATCATTCGGTAAGTTCTCGAATGTGGAACCCATTCCAAGTAAGTCAAACAGCTGTTCGGAGACATGTGTCCAGTCAACTAAAGCTTACCACCCCTTATGAAATCGCTAGATGGTTAAAATTGCAAGCGAAATAGTAGAGGGACTTCCATAACTGTTACATCCATAGTTACAGCGTCACTTGCTATGATAATATTTGCCAGTATTGCGTGCCAAAGGCTTCACATTAGGGGAATGTATACCCGCGTAGTTGGTTTCCACTAACCGTCCAGTCCAGAGAGATAAGGTTAAAGTGGTGTCGTCAAACTTCTCAGATTAGCGCTACGTTCCTTTATGGATGAATCCAGATTTGCTATGGAAAGAGTTGTTAAGAAAGGGTCTGGATAGAATGAGGCACACGGAATTAGACACAGAATGTCGTCGAACATCACGCATTTAGAAGTAAAGTATCATGATATGGAATAAACTTTTAAAGGGATTTTTCACCAGCTGCCCACCTCTAAAGACAGTTCTGCGACAGCTTCGTGGTGTCGGGATGAGGTCTTACACCCGATTTTATGAAACTACGAGGCAGCATATGGTCCTAATTTGCTCCTTATGGATGACAATGCCCATTCTCGTCGAGCCAACATCGTTAGCAAGTACCTATAGAGTGAAGACATTCATCATACGAAATTGCCGCCGTTTTTCCCCGACCTTAATCTCATTGAAAATCTTTTTGCCATCCTCAATCGTGCTGACTTTCCACATTTACCTCTTTACATCCTATAAGAGTTTAGACAGTTGAAAATTGTCGTAACGGAAGAATGGCAATTTTTAGCATTTAAGGTGATTCATCAGCTGGTTGAAAGCATGGGCAGTTGCTGTTCTGTTGGAAATTGCTGTAACGGAAGAACGGCCATTTTTAGCATTTGAGGTGGTTTATCAGCTGGTTGAAAGCATAGGCAGCTGCTGTTCCGTTGCGGACACATATTAAGTTTTCTTTTTAAGCTTTTAGCATAAATTTGTTAATGGTCCATACGTGACGTCACCACATAACTTACGCAAATTAAATATTGTTTTCATCATTGTATATGATGCTTGTTATCTTTCATGCACAAACACATTTCCACATTTCCTACCTTCATTTCTAACTTGGTGTTAATCAAAGTTTTACTTTCCCATTTTTGTTGATTTTACCATCGTATGCCCAGCTTTTGGAAGTCAGCGTAGAAGAGATAAAGCAATAAACGTCTCCAGATCTCTGATTACATTGCAAGGCTAACGCTTGGGACTTAGTGCCCACTTTCAACATATATTCTTCAAAGCAATGATTGAAATAATAGTTACTTACAGATCGTTAACATGGAAATCGTTGTAAAAGAAACGTAAATCCCGCTTCATCTAATGTCTTTTTCTTCTAAATGTAAAACAATAAACATACGGAGCATCGAAATCTCTTTTTGGGTTGTTAAGTATTCCACCCCTTCATTTAACCGCAACAGCGGATAAAGGCTAAGTTTATTTTAACTGCAGGAAGAAATAAGATTCCATGATACACTTTCCCGTCAAGTATCAGGATTCAGAAACATTGTACCTCCATCATTCAGCCACAAGTGGAATCTTGGTTCACAGACGCTTTGGGTCCCGAACAGATCGGTTCCCAACTAAATTTTGCAAACGAAAAATATCTTGGATAGTGAGCGATATCTAATGATACGAACAAATAAGCAGGCAGCAAATGATACTCCATAATGCAGCTAATGGAGAGGAGAAAATATCTTAAGAAGAAGAAGACGGAAGATAAGATGTTCATAATTATTTGATCTGTGAAATTTGTGCTAAATGGGGTGAGGTGTAAAGATTCATAAAACATTATTCTGATAAAACAGTAGTAAGCCAAAGCATAAATATTTGCAATGAAATTGCTACGTCTTGATTAATGAACATTTTAAAATATAGAAAGAAATAAATCACAATAGGCAATTTTTTAATAGAACAAAGGTTCAGCCATTCTCAAATTTGGCAGTGGTGTTAAGAGAAAGAGAGAAGAAAAAGAATAAACGAAAAGACAACAGCATATTTTTTAAGGAAGAGCACTATCTGCCTAAGCGGAGGGATGCCTTTGTGGAGGACTTTCTAAGGGTAAATGGTTCGTATACACGTTACACATGGGGAACACAAGGAAAACGCGAAGCTATCTCGTTCGCCGGAATTCGAACTTCACTTACGCCTCCAGCTTTCCTCCGTAGAGACGTTTTAAAATTTAATTTAAGTTTTACTATTTTTATATTATTAGTATTGTGTTTATCGTGTGCATATTAATGTTGTACATGTGTTATATTTAATGAATTGCATTACAAATTTACATACAAAGTCTTCTTTTCTAAGCAATCATTTGGGACTTGAAAAAGGATGAATATATAGAAACTAATGTAAAGTGAAACTAATGTAAAATAAAACCGCATAGAAACTAATGTAAAATGAATTATTTTACATTAGTTTCTATGCGGGAAATCATTTCATTTTACGAAAATTTTGGATGGCGAACTATCTTCAGACACGAATTAAGTTCATTACCCAAGGTTTCACTGTTAAGCATTACGATCTGTGCGAAAGAAATCAAAATACCAAATTCCTATGTACTAGCTGCGAATACAGATGGCTCAAAATTCGATAAACGAAATAAGTAGCTTCCTTGTGCTACCTTATTGTATGACAGCGATATGGTAGCCCGGCACCCTTAGAGGCCAGAGGGTAAATAAATTACTCTAAGGCCAGATGCACTCTTAGAGCAATTTCTATCAAGGAACTATCAGTTCCAACAATATCTCCTAATGTAATACTACCTCATATTGCCTGTCAGCAATTTACGCCATAGCAGACTCCAAATACCCGTCAACAATAGTACAGCAAAAAAGCAACGTGTTGCGGTTTGACAATGAATTTAAAATACACCTTTGCCGTATCCTAGATTATTTAAACATATTGATAGAAAACATATCAAAATATTTTATATTAGATTCTTCGACAGACAGAAGGAAAACCTATTTCATAGGTTAATGTCTACAATATGTTTTAATATTCATTTACTACGAAACGCATTATTATTTCTAATTAAATATCTTATGTTAACACCAGATGATTTCCTTGTACGGCCTATTAAATTAAATACACTTTTAGCTGCATTTGATTTAAACGTATCTCTTTGAATTTCATTAGAGATATAAATCGCATTCAATTAATTCAATTCTCGGCAAATCGAAAATACATAAAAACTGAAAAAACACCTACATTAAAAATTGTAAAACGCATAAAAATCTAAAACACCAAATACAGTTAAAAACAGTTTAAAAAAAAATTTTACAACTAAAATTAGAGTTTTCTGCGCAAAAACAAGTATTTTAGCTAGTGGGCAAAAAGATAAAATTTCTGCGCACAAAAATGAAAGTTAACTTTCTCTCCCACTGTGCAAAAAGACACTGAAGTTGGTGCACAAACTGACTTGATTGTCGATCCTACTAAGAGTTTCAAATGTAAGCAAATGGCAGCCTTGTTAAACCTAGCGTCACTTTTAAATTGTTGATAATTCTACAACTGTTCCTTGCATATTAATTAAAGGCATAAAAACCTTAACTGGAACAAAAGACTAACATAATTCAATCACTTTTAAAGCAAAAAATGCACGATTTACCAACATATAAGAATAAAAAAAATTAATTAATTAATTAATAAAATATATGTGTACATTTGGTGGGGTTGATAACAATGAAAAAGAGCGATGCACAACTACATATTATAGCACTCCCACGTACAAAATTTAAAGTTCTACGATTACTCGTTTTTTGAGTCATGCAATATACATGCGATAGACATGTCACGAAAAAATCACTTCTGAATCCATTTGTAATCCATTTTACAATCCGTTTAGAAAAAAATAGTCCTTTATGTTTAGTAAAAAATAATCCTTTTTTAAATGTTCGTATTTACAGATGTCAAGCAAAAACATCTGTCATGTGGATTCGTGAGAGGCCCAAAATTTATATTTTCTTTGAAATATGACACCCGAAATTTTTCGTGATTACAATACTTGATTTACTTGGTACAAGGAATTAAAAACTGAAAAAAAAAATTATTATAAAATTTCTTTTAGATAAATAAATGCAAATTTTGAAAAAAGAAATATGCGAAAGGAAAATTTAGAATCGAGAGCTGAGGCGAAAAAAATCTTTTACATTTACATTTAAAATATTTAACTCGTTCTTTCATTTATTTTACTGTATTAAATCAAAATCTCCTTGGCCAAAGAAGTAGATTTCTAAGAATAAATATCCAGTATTTACCAGCGTTATCATCTCAGTCTCGGGAGATCGCGTTCAATTTTGTATACAAATCCTTTTGCATTCATTGAATTCCCAGAGCAATCAAAGATGGGTTTAGCTGAAGCAATAGGGATTTAAGGTAAAAGGAGGTTTTCGAGAGCATCAATAAATGATTTTGTTTACAACTCCAGTACAAAGATTATGCTTTGCTTACTCAGGATAAATTAAAACTCTTCAGATCTCTGAACAAACTCCGAATATATCCTTTATTGCTTAATGGGTTTTATGAAAACTTTAAAGTATTTTCGTTTAAATTAGAATTCTTTCATATACATCCGGAGGAGTGCAAGCTTCTTTAATATATATGTACTTATTATTGTTTATCTCAGAAGGATATGAGATATTTTTTATTTATTTTTTGCTGATGCATTAATTCGTTTCAGTTAGATCTAAAAATAAAAGAAACGAAAGTGAAATGCTAATTTCTCATATTTCGTATACAGTTGGCTATTCATTCTTAAACTGCACCGCAATTTTTTAAGAAAAAGTAAATTTTGCAAAACAAGAAACAGACGAATATTAAATTGGAAGAGAAACATGCAATGCAAAATTTTAATTTAGGCGAAAAGCAATCTTACGTTCGCTTAGATTTTTAACAAAATCCTGACGACTTCGAGAACGATCAAATACAAGTTCCTCTTCTTCAGAAACCAAAAGTAAAAAGAAAAAAAATTGCTAAACTGGAAGAAGCGATAAATGTTTTATATCGAAAGTAGTGGGCGGAGAAAAGAGAAAGCGTATGTAGTGTTTCAATAATGTAATGGCAAGCAAAGCAGTCGAAATATTCTGGAAGATTTAGACTACTTTGCTTGCCATTACATTATTAAATTATGAGATCCCAAGCATGTCCCGGACTTCCGCCAACAGCTACTGCAATGCATGCAACCAGTTCCTCGGTGCTGTCATATAAGTGACAAGTGACGGAGGACGCGAGCACCACCCCTCTACCATAGCGATTAATTGGTATAAAGCCGCGTCCCCCTTGTCTAGAGCATCGCAAGATGTTATGGGGAAGGGTGAGGACCCCTGACACCAGTCGCCGATTTAAAATACAGTGCCATACAAGGGACTTGGCAGATAGTACATTGCCATACAATAATAGTTTGGTTCATACAGCATGTTACAATTGAGGTACATATTACGTATGATGGCATATTACAAATAAGGTACTTAGTACATAATCATACATATACAAAGACAAATACATTTAAAATATGCATATTACTTAACATTAATTTGATTATGTGCAGGGGAATATTTCAGATATAGGAAATTATATCAAGATTTACATGTGATCCAAAGGCAATATCGTGTTGCATTGGTTCGTATGTCTTACGTCTTACACCAGAACTTATGACATGTAAATTATGCATACATTATACACACTATACTGATACATTATACACTATACTAGTACATTATACACTATACTGATTATATACTATACTGCTATATACATTATACTGATATATTATATACACTATACGCGATACTGATATATACATAATACTGATATATCATACATTTAGCTGAGATACATAGCACAGTTGACTTTTTGTTATATATACATGGGGTGCTGTCATTTTGGAAGATTAAGTACGCCAGTTCACTGAACCATCATATCCAAACCACTGTTGGCCAATTGTAGCATCCAAGTGGCCCCGTTTAGCAAATTCATATCAGTTAACTCTGCGAATCACCCATTTTAATACCCGATACCTCAGGAAGAATGGTAAAAACATAGGAGTACCAAAACTGAGTGCAACTTGCGTCGAAACTGATTTGAATTTCGAATTGTAAAATGGTCTGAAATGAATTTGTAATAAAGAAGTCTTATCAATAAGTAACGAAAATGAAGGATATGAACGCAACATAGGATGTAAAAAGGGGGGAACGAGTTAGCGACGGATATAAATAAGAACTCAGAGACGGTGAGATATCACAGTCTAAAAGTTATGGAATAGAATTCACATGAGGCTGTAAGGTAATTTCTTCCTCCTTTCCATTCGTGGTGTAGCAGGAAGCATACTCAACGCGTATTGGAAAGGTCCTGGGTTCGAGTCTTGGCAAGAGCACTGCACATTTTTCACGTCTCCTGCTTCAAAATAACCTAAATGACTCTAGAAATGGCGTCAAAACTAAAAGGTAGTGGAAGACAATTCTTCACAACCAGGAACTGAATTGAATGGCATCATACGTACTCTGGCACCGAAAAAAGCTCCATGCCCGGATGGTATTGATAATATCATCATTAGAGAGATACACCGGAAATTCCCCAAATTACTCTTCGCGGTTATTTCAGCTTGCTGGAAATACCAGCACTTTCCTAAAAATATGAAAATGGCAGAAGTGGCGTTATTTATAAAAACCTTTAAGAGGGAAGTATATGAAGGTATTTTCTTCCTCCTTTCCGCATGCCTCCATGGTTTAATTGGAAGCATACTCGACACGTAGTCGAGAGGCCCAGGGTTGGAGTCCCACCAAGGACACTATATATTTTTCCCCGTTTCTTGCTTCAAATTAACCTAATGGCTCTGCAAGGCATTCACAGAGTCAAAATGGTCTTACTACATGACACACAAGTACATAGAATAAGTGAGATAATTATAGGCAATCTTAATACAGAAGATATATATTAGGATGCACTGATATACAAAATATAGAATAATAAATACAAAATACAGAAACATAATGTCATTTGCGAGAAAGTAGCATAATATTGCTTACTATGGCCACTAGCCGTTTGCCATTATCTGGCCAGCAGTAAGCATAATTATAAATTGGAAAAACGGAATGGCTATTTTCTCTGAGAAATTTATGAAAGTTGTGAGCAAGTTGATGACAGATAGTACATAGCTGAGGAATACTCAATTCTTCATTAATTTTGTTGTTCCGAATATACCACAGATTTGTTTCGGGATACAGTTTAAGCTTTCTGTAACAGCTTTCTGTTTGTTCAACATGAATATGTCTTATTACCTTTGCGCTGATGTCTGAAATGATGCTTCCCTGCAAAGAAGCATGGCCAAACGTTATTTGCCGCAAAAGAAAAGCATTTCCAACTTTGCTTTGTTATGCAAACCCGAGTCATCTGGATGCACCCAACTACTCCCCTAACCACGACACACCGCATGTATATAAATAGAAATAAAATACAATATTTTTGTATACATATTTATATATAGTTGTTGTATTTTTTAAATTTTTATTTTATTGATTTATTTTTCCAGAGCAACTTCGAGCTTTTCTAGACTTCAGTCCTAAAATTTTTCGGATCCAAGGTGAATACTTTCGTTCTGAAGTAGAGCTGTTACAAAAGAAAGCCGAGGATGTTGCTGATAGAGCCGTTAATCATGTACGACTGAATGATCCTCATTATTATTTTAGTAAGTATAAAGCAACATACATACATATGCTGTCGATTCTCGAAAACGAATTTTAAATTAGGCTCATTTCTGTAGTTAAAATTCAAGTACTTAAAATTTAAACTTTATTCGCTATAGAGAAAAATTTAAGCCGTAACTTTGTATAATAAGTCCTACGAACCCAACTCTTAAAGAATATGGACCTTTAAATAAATTGATAATATTCTTAAATAAATTAAATAATCCTCTTAGAATACTGCTACTTAAATATTTTTTTTTCAGTAGCATATTAAATAAAAGAGTTCTGAACTTCTGTCTTGAAGTAAGTGTCCATTCCGAAGTAAATTCACTTAGACATTTCTTCAGCATAATAGTAGGTATAGCCCATGAAAAGCGATGTGTTTGTTACATTGAACATCTTTTTTTCTAGAAAGAGAAACACGCCAATGTGACAATCAAAATCGCAATAACAACCTTGTATTTCGTGTACATTTATTAAAACACTCAATCAATTTCGAAGGCAGCTACATGCCCCTCCTCATCAGGGGAACGAAATTACTAGAATAGGAAAGCAACCACTGTAACGGCTTTTTATACCCTCCGGTAGTATCATGCACGAAGATGCAACGCCATCTATCGGCAAAAATTTAATTAATTAATTAATTAATTTCTTGGCTCCTTGCATAAAGAATTTTTTTAATGCAGGTACTATTAAAGCCAAAGGCGATGATAATTTTATTATGGAGACACAAAAAGTGTCTATCGTTACTTCCTATGAAGGGAAAGGCAATTTAAGAGGTTATCACTTCCAGCTACAGTCCCTGTTAGATGGGACTTTTATGAGAAACGAGATTCTGGTAGCATTGGTTTAAACGGGAGGACTCCTAGAAAAAAAAAAGAGTTCCGCTGGAAGCGAAGTCCCGCTCAGTTACGGAAACGATGTAGCGCGGGATTTTTTTCAAACATTACCGAAAATGCCTCGGCTGGAGCTCTGTCCCGGGTAGAGATCAACCAATCAGACGAAAGTTCTGCTTCTGGAGGATCACGTGATCCCAATCTGAGCGATAATCCATTACTCTTTGGAGTTCAAGTCTTACTAGTAAGTGAAAATGTTATCCTAGCTACGTGGGTTTCCTGGAAATGTGCGGGTTCTGAGTATTTTCCCTTTTGACGTGCAGTAGTAGCTCGTAGCTGAAACATAATGTGATTGGGACATTTCACCCATGCCTTCTCGGACCCTACGGTATGGCAATCGGGGTCACTAATCAGTAACCACTTTTCGCATCCAGGATATACAATATAATAATTTCAGCATAAATACTGAATATCAATGTCTAATATTTTAAAAAGCCCTGATATAAAAAAATAAAGAGATAGTTTTTTTTTATTATTATTATTTTATTCAAATTTCATTTTCAGCTACAGGTGGACTGCTGAAGAAAAGTGAAAAACTCATTTGGTACCAAAGCAGAATTACCAATTCTGCCCTAAAGGAGGATCCATTGCCTTGTAATTCTTCGATATTTAATGAATCAGAATCAGATTTTTGTCTGAAAGAGGTGACTGAATCTCGGTAAGACAAGCATTTGAAAATTTTATTCCACATTTCTTTTTTAATATTGTAACGTTGCGCGCTTCCAACCTGCACGCAACAATAGTGGTGACTGCTAAGAACTGGGAAGTAGACAAAGTCTTGAGAAGGGTTTAAATCCCTTTTTATTCAACTTTAGAAATTACAAATGCGTGCTCTTGAAATCAGCAAAATTCTGAATATTACGTTTGAAAGATTAACAACTGCCGAGGCAACACCACAGGGGCCGAAACGCGTGGTTCTTCAATTCTAACTAGCCACCTCCACGCCGTGAAGCAAGAAAGCACACCTCGAACTCGTTTTCCTTTCTATTTAACTCAAGAATTACTTCCCTGACAATTTGAATCCTTGCGCGTTCTACTATAAAATTTTACATACTCTGGCATTGCCAATTCCAGGGGAAAGTAAGGCTTGACAGGAAAGATAGTTTAAACTTAAAATAAATGTTAGTTAAAATAAATATAAACCCTACAATATAACATTTAACATTATTCTCTAAATAAATAACCAGTTATTAAACACTTGCAACGCAATAAAATTTATCCATCTTTTGCAATATAATGCTCCTTAAGCTGATCAAAAAAAAAAAAAAAAAAACAGTCAAAACCGATCTAATTTTAAAAACTTAACCTAATTTGAAATCTGGTCTTCATCACCTACAATGTAGTCCCTTCTGCATTTGATACGCCGATGTCTGTGATTTACACATTTATTAAAATTCTTTCTAGAAATCTTTTATTTAAAATGTGTCTAGCTTTTGCAGTTTAATACTAATGTTGCATGGAGTAACGCCCAGATGTTATAGTAAATGACACTGACTACCGTACCGATTAAAATCCCAGAGAAAACATGGTTGTTTGTAGGCTTCGGCTTTGTGCGGCAGGAGGGCACAAAGCCGAAAGTCGAATGGTTGGTGGTTCGGAAAGAGGAGTGGAAGACCCTCGTACCGCCGTCCGGGCGTTTTCCATCAAAAGTGGTTTGTAACATGACAGTTAGCACGGCTATGTTTCAACCTCTACCTGCTCTCTTGGAGCCAAAATGGCGACCCTTTACTCGCTAATTTAACATTAGACATAAAGAAGATTTAAGACATGAGGCGAATAAACAGAAGAATGACGCTCGAGCTTTGCGTTATCTGAAATATTGCTTCGTCAGGTAGTTGTAACATAAAGCGCTTTCAAGGTGAATCAATGAGTTCCCATCGTTATAAATGTAATTTCTATTTAGAAAAATGTGCTCTTTCATTCTCAAAATATCAGAGTAAAATTTCTCACTGCCTGTTCACTCTAAATTTAACTGTAGTTTTATTGAAACTCAAGCCAACGTTGTTAAAATGTTGTTAGAAAATATCTTTGCATAATTTACTAGTAAACAAAGGAAAATAACATAACATAAACTACGTTCAACAAAAGCTATGCTCAACGTTGTATAAAAATAATAATGTTGGACTGAGGTCGGACTGATTGGAGACTCTTCAGTTATGTTGGACTGACCTCGGACTGACTGGAGACTCTTCAATAACGTTGGACTGAGCTCAAAGAGAACTGCAATCAGCAAGAACCTTTAATTTTTTTCAGTTTTTTTTTTCCAAGGATCTTGACGACTTCGGTTGTGATTTCCATAAAGCATTTCATTTAGATTGCCAGCTCTGGGATCGGTACATAAATGCAGAAAGAACTGCGATGAATAATATGAAGACTAGATACAACTTGGAAAAGTTTCAAAACTTACCAGGCTTTGTCTGATCTTTTTTTTTCTCAATGCAGATTACACAAAATTGTGTAAAATTTAGATATTGTTTATTTAGAGTAGATTTACTCAATATTTTCGTGAGCGTGAGCTACTATTTTTTCATACAGAGGACGTTATGATCTCCCATATAAAATAATAATCTACCATAGTAATAGATGAACAACTCACTATCATTCGGTAGCTCGCGATTAACAAGTTGGCTAGCAATCTTTATAGTGTATTCATGTTAAAAATGTATTTCTGCAACGAAATTAATTTCATTCCTAATGCTTTCTTGGTACAGACCGTTTCACTGTAAAATCAGCCCCAGATGCCTACATATGATGACAACACCTGGACATAGCGGTTACTATATAACTCATCAAGTACTGTATCTGGAAATATTAGAAAAGGTAAAATTACATTTCTCTTTTGTCATCTGAGATAACATTAAAAATTGATATACAAAATGTTTAATAGAAAATGCGCAACTTAAGTAAAATTGATAACGACCAAAATCATCTACTAGAAATTAATTGTATGCTAGTGAAAGTACCCATTAAATGTTTTTTTTTATTTAAATACAACCAAAAGTAATAAAAATATAAATATACATGTATAGACTTAATGTAAAGAACTCTCTACAGACGTGATTTACTTAATATGCACATTCGTGGTGGAGTTTTCCAAAACTGGACAATATTCAAAACTATTACATGGATGTTTTTATACAGTGAACCCCCAACAATTATAAAAAGCTCATGTTATTGTAGGAAAATTTATTTTAAATCATTCGTAAACAAGGATATATATTTCAATGATAAAGTTATCCATTGTTATTTCATTCCAAACAGAAAATATGTTCTTGCATTTCTTCTGAATTTTCCTAATCTAAGTAAAAACTGATGCTTAGGTCTTAAATCTATGAAATCAAACCAACTATTGAAACCTAATATAATATAAAACGAATAATGTCGGGCAAAGTAAACTGGCCCATAAGGATAAAAACAACACGCGTGGTGTGTAAGTATACTTTTTTAAAACTGAAAAGGAAGCAAATGCACTGAAAAGCTTAAAAGTAGTGAAGTGAAGATGGTGCATTACACTGAATGACCTAAATTTCGATAGGAAGAGATGCAGTTTTACGGTGTATGGAAGAATAAACTACAATAATCTCTTAAATTTTATTGCAATTTGTGTCCACTACGAGTACATTTTCTATTCCTACATTTCTATTTCTATTCCTATTGACTCGATGGTGAAAGTCGAAGCTTCATGTGGCTTATGTGAAAAGCTTTCTGAAGAGCTTGACCTAATTTTTAGAAGGCATGAAATGGCCTAGTTGCTGGGTGCCTTTCCTTTGCATTGTATTAGCCAATTGATGATACGCTGCTTAATGTGAGGGATATTTGACATCCCTGATAGCCGGTTATCTAATCGTTATGCCGAATTATTTGAGTTGAGCGACACAAGGGGAAAACAAAGAGCTTAAGGCTGGGGTTTCAGCTAAGTGTTTTTTATTTTTTTGTTTTTGAAACTTATTATTAGAGCTTGTGTTTTAACTGCTGAAATCATCAGTTCCTGCTGTCTGGCCCAGTCAACGAAAGCATCGAATCGCATCTATTCTGTGCGTTCCAGATAATCTCTGCTAGCCACAACTAGGAGTCGTCTGCGTAGGCTATGAGTTTTGTGTCTTCCATTTCTTCAAACAGTTAGGCAGAAATGAGATTCTATAGTGTGGATTCTCATGACCCTGTGGACATCTACATGATGACTTCTTTGTTCACTATAGTAATACCATCTAGTGTGACCTGGGTTCTTCTGACTTGAAGGGCTCTTCTGTCTCTCGAATCAAATCAGTGATCGCTCCGGGGCAGGCAGTGGTTATAAGACTGTTGATTACATCTACTCAACAAAGAAAATCAAATCCACCCTGTATATTCAGCGAAATAACCACCGAATACAAATCTGCATCTCTGATGGTTGTTCGGAAATTCTTAAGTTCTTTTAGGGCAGGCTGTCGTATTCAGAAGCCAAACTGTAAAAGATTTATGAGCCTAGCTAAGAGTGAATAATAGCTTAGTCTTTAGAAAACAACTCTGTCCAGGACATTATCTAAGGCAGGGAGAAGACTTACTGGACAATAGCAAGTTAGCAGGTCTGAATCTTTACGATTTTTTAAGATCTGAAAATGAATTCATATATTTGTGAAATATTCTAGTTTGAGATGTTAGTTCCTTTGGTTCAATATAAAGGCAAACTGGATTATTATCAGATGAAAAAGTTAAAGGTATTCAATCGAATAATTATGAAATATTTTCATGAGAGAAAATTCAGTTACTGTAGAGTGTTATTATAATGGCAATGATTAGGTTGATTTGGTGTTATTGCAGTGCAATATTTAGATTGCATGAAAAATTTCTTTATATCTGCGATTAGAACGATCTGGATTCAGCTAGGATGTTTGGCATTGAAATCTCAGCCAATGATACTGCATAAATTTATTTTCAAAAGATCAGTCTGTTCTACATTATCAATATTATTGCTGGTTGTCATCTAAAGATAATATCTCTTGTGTACTTTTTCCTCGCCTAAGAGACTATTTACATTCCATGAAATAATAGACATAATTCTGTTCTTCCTATATTTAAGGAAATCACACATGCTTAGATATATTTTCTAGGAAATCTGCAATAAAGTCTATTTTATCAAAAATACCCTGTTTACTTAGTCAACGAAAGATGACTTAATAATGTTCCTGTTCAAGGATTTGTGGTAATAAAGCTGTCTGACGTAGTGATTGTTGGAGCTGAATTATTCTGATGTGGATAATGAGGATATTCTGTATAAATTGTCGGGCTATATGCACAAAAGTTAGTCCATTTCGTTTGTTAATCTTTAAGTGACTTACACTGACTTGAAAAATAGTCTTTACGCCTGATGTACAATGGACTGCGTACACAGTAACACGAGCTATTATGAAATTTCTGACAATGCAAACATTAAGCTGTACCACGTCTTTTCCTTAGGTATTTAGTTTCGATTTTCAGGTTTCCAAGAGATTATATTTCTGTGTTCTGTTTTGTGTGTGGCATATACTTTAAAAAACAGACGGAAATGTCTATTTCTCTATTATTTATTTACTGTACGTCCTGTATATAGTTGACTGACAGACCTCTTATGATGGCAACTTACCTTCAGGTAATCTATGAGCCTAACGACCACGGGAATTCTGCGTTGTAAAAATGTCACAAACTTGTATGTTTCTTTGCTGTTAGTACATGTTTAATGAACGCATCTGTTTCAGGTATTGTCTAATCGTAAAACAATGGCTTACCTCCTGCACTGTAAGTTAAAGCAGTATTCCATTATTTTTAAAGCAAGACGGCTTTTGCTAACATGGCTTCCATCAGCATCGCTCAATTTATGAAAGTTCAGAGCATTCGGAAGTCCATTAGATATTCAAGCCACGTTTGGTTTTAAGAATTCTCAGAAGTGTACTAATACGAAATTACGCAAAAATAAAATGCAGCAAATAATTCCTTGAAAACGAACAGTTCGAAATACATTAAAAATAACAGCTTCTAAAAACTTTACAATTTCTTTTGAAGGCGGAAATTCATCAGACTTCGCAATGCGCGGATTTCAAAAGAATGTTCCAGGAGAAAAAAAATTACGAAGATGATTCTTAATGTTACTTTTCCAATGTTCAAATTGCCGTAATACGTTCTCAAATTTAGGTGTTTAATTTTTCTGCGTTTTTTTTAATTGTTTTTATTTGTCAAAGTACATACATAATATATGGTGTTAGAAAAATATTTAATATGTCATATATATTACAAATTGCATGAATTGTATGTGTCATGAATAGCATTAATTAGAAATAATAAAAATGTAAGTCGTGTAATTATTTCAAAAATTAAGCTCTTAATTCCATTTTGAAATATAAAGCTTTTATGCTACGTCAAATGGCAACAAATTACCCTGTTTACTTTTTTTCATGGTAACTTTGGTGGCAAACGGGCTGGCTGCATGCATGTGGTTTCGTGACCAAATATCGCATGATGGTGTAATTAAATCACTATGAACGCTTATTGTTTCTTGTCTGTTCGCCAATTTAATATCCAAATCTTAATTATCAAGGCATACAGATTTTTTATGTCATGTAGTCAACATTCATCAGTAATCAATAAAAATACCTTTCTAATAATATATTTTTAAAATGTTTTGTTGGTAAATAGTAAGGAAAAGGAAATTTTATAATAGCGCACGTATTTTTATAGCTTACCGTACATTACAGTTACAGTTATCGAGGTAACTTTATAGAGTCTCACCTTCTTTGGTAAAATCACTTGAGCGAGAATTCAGAAGATTTAAGTGACTTCTCACTCTGTCTTGGAAATTACAAAGAGACTTATAAAAGGGTGTAAAAGACCCTTTCATTAGCTGAAATAAATTAACAAGAGGCACAACTTATACTTACAGAACCAGAAAACATTTACGGCGTAAATCAAAAGCAACGAATTGAACTTACTTAAGTAACTTGTACGTAAGCCAATGGCTACACAAAAAGAATGCGCGGAAATTGGTTCAAATCTAATAACGGCGTGACAAGCTTAATGGCGATAATAACTCAATGCTGCTGATAAACAGCTCTCAAGATATTCCACTAGTAACGTGGCCTTCAGCATGCGGAATACGCTCTGATTATACCATTTAAAACCTTCATTTAAGTACTATATTTTTCTGCCTCATTTCAGTACGCGGAAACTAGAAATTAGCATTCTAGCAGGAGAACGAAAAGTAGCAACGGTGTAGCTATGGGGGGGGCAAAGGGGGGCATCCAGAGAGCGCCAGATTGATAGTACACATATCAGAATGAAATGTTTTCCATTCTTGGAATACATAAAGGGGCGCAAAATCTTTAGGTGTCCTCGGGCGCTGAAAACCTTACCTACGCCTCTGGAAAGTAGGAAAGGCAGTAAAGATCATTAACACAAAATAATTTTTTAATAAAAATAAATGAATATTCTACACTTTAAGCACTCAGAAGTGTGAGCCCTAAAATTTACTAACTCATGCTACAATTTCCAAAAAATCATAAAAGACTCCAACATTAATACTCTTGGAACTATCTTTAAGAAATCTGTTCAGATTTTTGCATTTACTGACGATATTACCATAGTCGCACACACTCCCGAGTCACTTAGAGAGGCTGTAGCCAGCTATCAACCAAAATAAAACTAAGTACATGCCATGTGGTAATAACAACATCCCCTATTTTGAAATTTGGAATTACAAATTTGAAACTGTTAAGCAAATTTAAATATTTAGGATCAGAAATTAATAATCTCAATGATGTAATGCTTGAGATCAGTAGTAGAGTCACAGATGCTAACCGATGCTAACCGAGTCTAACTTCACTAGCAGAAAAACGAAGATTTTAATTTACAAAAGCTTAATCAGACCCATTCTTACTTACTCTGCTGAGACCTGGGCAATGACAGAAAAAGCTAAAAGTATCATTTCTGTCTTTGAAAGAAAATTGTTGAGAAGTATTTTTGGTGGCATAAAATGTAACAATATCTGGAGAAGAAAGAACTAACTCTGAACTCTATAAATCTTTTAAAGAACTAGATATAGTAAAATAGGCTATAAGGATTCAGAGAATTAAATGGGCGGAACACCTGTGCAGAATGGATGAAAATCGTGTAACTAAAAAGATATTCTCGGCCAGATCATTTAGGCACCCGGAAAGAGGAAAATCCAAACTTAGGTGGTTCGACTATTTGTAAACAGATTAAGGAATTTTAAAAATAGCTAACTGGATGTCCAAGGGCAAGGATAGAAGAGCTTGGAATTCGGCTCTGAGGAAGACAAGGGCCCATCCCGGGCCAGTGTCTGGCATATTGAAGAAGATCAGTACAACTGACTTGCATATGAGAACTGGCTCGCATGTGAAAACTGGCTGCAATATGTGAGAGAAATCAAATATTTTAAAAATAAGCTTTAAACAGATAGCTAGCTGTTATCTTTTGGAGAAAAATAAAATCATACAAGCAGAGCAGTTATTTTTTAAAAATGCTTCTGTATAATTCCTAGCGTATTGTGCATACAACAGATTCCAGATTAACCTTCTTCGGTTTGACCAAGCTTTAGGCCAAATGAACAAATTCCCGATTAGTCCTAAAAAGCATATAAAATAATATTTTCAATTTGTAGATTCGAGTAACAAGAATATGAGTATAAACATTTATTTATTTTGTTAAAAAAAACTAGTGATTTTTCTTAAATTTCACTCCTCGTTTTGGAGTAAAATCACGACACAAATAACCACTAACTGAAGCTTTCAGAATTAAATCATTGAGAGTATTAATTTCTGATCTTAAATATTTAAATTTGCTTAACAGTTTCAAATTTGTAATTCCCAATTTCAAAATAGGGGCTGCTCTTATTACCACATGGCATGGTTAACACTGATCCTTTACTTTCGCTTATTTTATAAAAAAAATACATTTCTTTGGAATATAATGCACATATGTTTTCATAGCATTAATAATGAAAATTTAATTCAAGGAAACGTATTTTTGACGAAAATATGGACGGCTAAGGGCAGACTGGATAAAAAGCAGTCTATTGTAAACATGATATGCTATAAACGATATATATTACTTTAACCAATGTACTATTGCAGAAAAACTGCTTAGATAACAAGACAATTCAACTGTTGGAACCTATACAAACTAAATTCTGCACCAACATTATGAGAGATGCTGAGGAAATTTCCAAGAATAATTTTCCATTAAGTCATCAAGACCTCTTTATGGAACAAAGTAAGGATTCTTTTTTTATTTTACTGCACTTATCTTGTACTGTTTATGCATGTATAAGTTACTGTCAGCAATTTAAGTGCGGCCATTTCGCGAATAGGCCAGGCACTTTACGATTCGGTCAGCCAGCCTAGCCAAAGCCAATGTTTAATTAAATTCGCCACTTTTTCGATCTTTGGCCTAATATTTTGCTAACTGCTCTAACGAAGTTAGAAATTTCCTTTACTTCCGTTTTAAGAATTTTTCAAGAAACTTATATTCATTGTATCTGAAAGTATCGAAATGTATTCAATGTATTGTTAAAACCATGGCTCAAATCCAAGAAAGGTATCCCTGATTATTCTCATCTTCTGCTTCGTGAAAACCTAATTCTCTACATGTGTCCTGAGCACAGAAAATATTTTTTTTCAAATGCAATTTGACACAGAAAATTTTAAAAATAATTTTAACACTTCTCTACATTAACAAAAGTTTTCTTTTTACCAAACTTTGTACGTTTTTAATTATTCACTTATCGTCAACAGTTTTAAACGTATTAAAAATGTGAGTGATTTCATCTGTGATAATCATAAACTAGATCTAATTAATAGGGCTTGAAGACCACCTTGAAAATGCAAGCCCAAAGACATACCCGTTTTATGTAGATGAAGTAGCTGTAGCTGCGGAGTTTTGTAAACTGGGAGATTCTACCATTTGGCTCTCACAACCTTAGCGAATGGTCATGTCTTTTAAAATTATTGTCACTCTTTTACATGACCCCTTTTCTGAGCGAAAAAAAAATTAGACGACTTTCGCATTTAACTGCACCTCAGTCTTAGAAGCCGCATTTAAATCCAACTTCTTTATTGATCAAGCAAATGTAAATGTAATATTGAATTCCGCATACTTCTGCCATTAGATTATTTCGAAACAAGAAGCATGCAAAATCAGCAGTCCCTTGCTAGGATTCGAACTCCGAATTACACCTTGAAGTTACGGGAAGTACGGAAGAGAAAAATTCCTTACATTCTCCTTTGCTTAAAGAACAACGGGGAGAAAGGAGACACAATTATCAAATCCAGGTGGTGACGAATTATCGTCTACCATATTTTCGTTCGGATGCCACTTCTAGAATATATTTAGAATTATTTTAAAGCCGAAAAGCATGAAGAATCAGCTATGCCCTCGACGAGATTCGAACTCTATACCTCTACACTGTTAACTAGACATGCTTCCAATGATATCTCGAAGGCTCGCAGTAAGAAACGAAACTATTCCTTACACATTTATTTGCTTGGGCAATCAAAATAATGAAATTAAGGAATTACGATCATATTCCTTATATCCGTACATAATATTGGTTTACACTTATTTTTCCTTGCCTGCAGATTTTTCATGCATTTCGTATACTATTTACACACCTGCATACAAATATGAAATTTATTTTCTACTATCATTTCCTATTTTAAGGGAACCGACCTAAAATCATTTGTGTCAAGAAATTTTTCGAAACCCCCTCCTGTTCGTATATAGATTTAATAACTAGTTTAATGAGAAATAGTTTTATATGATACTGAGGTAAATAAATTTTGCTCTTCTCCACTAAGGCTTCATATGCCAAACTTTTCTCACACGAAAGCAAATTTCTTATGATATTGTGGTAGCCCTACTAAGTTATTATATTCGCAATAAAAGTAAGTAAATAAAATAATGACAAATATTGTTAAATTGAATTTGAAGTCCTATCGGTAATGGCTTTAGAACAGTATTTAAAACCACAGTCTCAACAAGCTTAGAAACACTACAGATATTCTAACTATTATAACGATATTCTAACTATTCTAACTTCCATGTTTTGTTTATTTTCAGAAAAAGTTCTTATATTACATTAAATTTAAATCATGATGTCATACTTATTGACTTAAAGTGTCAAAAGTTTTTGTTTCATGATTTGGTAAAAAAGAAAACATTTATAAATTGATTATTGCTTGGAAAGAATAAATTTCTTTTGTTTATTATTTCAAGTTAAAAATAATTAGAGAAGCCACAAAGGGTTAAAAGATAACATCACAGAATACTATATATTCCTAAATGTACTATCCTTCTAAACACTCATTAATTACTCATTTTTTAATTATTTATTTTTAAAATTTATTTTTTCAGTTGGTCTGTGCGGCCTGTGGGGATTTAAAGACTTCTACAAACGAAAATGGGTGGAAAATATTCTAGAGTGGCAGAGTCTTTCAGGCTGCTATGATCGTCAAGCTCGCTGGTTTTGTTCAGGTACATTATCTTTCTGTTATTGTTCCTATTAAAATTCAGATATGAATAAGTAGATGCGCAATCCTTATGTGATAATTACTAAATCCTTACACCTTTTCTTCCCTTCACACGAAGTTAGGGAAGGGGGTAAGAAGAAAAAGAGAGAGAGAGAGAAAATAATGATAGTTACAGCTAACATAGCGGTCAATTACATTTATTCAACTTCAATGCAAATTACCTTGATACCCATTTATTCAATGTTAAATGCCAGGTATTCCTGCATTTTTACTTTTCCGGCGTAGCTTACTCTTAAAATTTGTCTCGCGCTGCATTGCACGGGGAAATACAGCAATTTTAATTATAATTCTACTAAAATGACCTGTCTAAATCCAAAATTCGTAAAATTATGGCTCCTGCCAAACGAAACAACACAGTGCTCGTTTCAAATGCAAAGTCGTTGAGTTTTTCGAAAGAAAATGAGAATATTTGGTAAAATATTTGGTAAAATGAGAATATTTGGTACAAGGATATTTGGTAAAAGATGGAATGAATGATGATTATTTATTTACTTATGGATCACAGTAACACAATGATAAAGATGAATTTTCGTATTATTCGATTATGAAAATTTTTAAGTTCATAAAGTATGTCACTTCTATTAAACAAACAGCATTTAGGTACATGTAAAAACCTAATTTTTTTACTCTTATTTTTTTCCTTATTTTTATTCTCTCATTTTTATACCCGGCGTATAATGCGCACCAGTAAATTTTGTTCTTATTTTTTTGTATTAAAAAAGCGCGTTGTACGCCGGAATATACGGTATATAAACTTCAGTTTTTTTAGAATCATTGTGGGAAACTAAATATCTAAAACCTCTATTTGTCTATTTTTTCTGAAATCAGCACTTCGGTTTAAAAAAATTTGTATTATATTTAAATGACTATTCCAGGTATTTTTATATTATATAAAAATAATATTTGTATTTATTTTTAATTTGTCGATGCTGTTTATGATGCGTTATGCATATTCTATATCTTTCTTTTTAATACATAACATTCCATCACTCATTTTTCTCTTTAAATCTAAATATTCGATCGCATTGTGTCTGAGAAATGTACAGTAAAAAAACACTATTTACGGAAATACTAAATATTTACAAGGGTTATAGGAAGCTGCATTTTGGAACACATTACGGAAGAATGTGACCTTTTTTTGATTTCATGTAAACCGTAATTCTATCTTTTGATTAGAAATATAAATCGATCAATGATTTTTATTCTATAAAACTGAAGGTATTTAATTTGTAAAGTAAAATATTACTTTTTTTGCATTAACTCATATTATAAAATAAATTAATCAAGAATTTTTATAATTTAACTGTCTTACTGACATGTACTTTCTTTCTAGACAACCACACACAGACTAAATTAAGATTTAAAAGAAGGGAACAACTACTGAAAGGTAATAAACTAATTCCTTCTTTTTACATTTGTTTTACTATATGTATTGTTTGTTCATCATCTGTGATATCAATCAGTATACTGTTGATTTCATTATGGATATATAGCAGTTTTCTATTTCAGTACATTGCATCAATATATCCTGAAAATAACATAGAGAAAAATTATCAAGCCAAAGGCACGTAAATTTGCTCAACATTTTTCAAATATTTCCGTTTGTTCCAATATTTATGTCTGAATTTGTCACTTTTAATTATTTCAGATACTGAAAAATGACAAATTGAAACATTCATATTTGATTTTACTGTTTCTAATTCATACGCATAATGGCATCTTTATACGATGTTCTTACGAATCAGAGAATATTAAGAAAGAGCCCATTGAAAAGTAGTATACAGTTCTCACATAAAGTTTTATAAAAATTTTAAGAAAGTATAAATTTTATTCGCATTCAACTAATTTAACAATTCTGAACCATTAATTTTTATGTACGATTTTATAAGCTAATTATTTTCCCTTTAACATAAACATACAATAGTCTTGGTATTTCATTGTGCCGGGCAAAATGTTCTAAGTTGTTTGGTTGATTTCAATGAAAAACGACTGGACAACTATAATACACAGGATTACTAAATATTGTTGCATTTTACGGGTTCGTGGATGATAACACTTGATGAAGAATCAAAATACAATTCATTCGCCTGCATTACTCAGGACAGTTTCAAAAACAAGTTTACAGTCGTCGAAAACATTACTTTAAACATGCTGAAAGAATCAGCAACACAGCCTTCAGGATACAAGGCTATAACGATGAAGACAGCTTCACGGCAAAGCCCTACAGTACAGCTCCCGAATCGGTTCGGTCGCACTCAAGCTAATCTCTGAGCACAAAACACTGTTACTAAACTCAACATACTCTAGATACTACTCACGCTAAACTGCTAATCCGCGTACGGACAGGCCATTTATAGTTTGCTTTCGTGAATATTCTGGGACGAACCGATAATAATTCGTTCTAGAATGTTCTCGCTCGGTTTATGGCTCAATAGGCAAGTCTGGCACCAAATAGGCGCTTTTGAGCCAAATCTGGAAACCCTGCCTTTCCTTGCAATTTTCTGGTAACCCTAAACCCGTTTTGCAGGAAGCTATCTAACCGCAACTGGGCATTTTGTAACAATATGTTTTTTTTTAACTTATTTCCAAATGGGCTGGCTTTATATAATTTTCGTTGCTTTCTCCATGTGTAACATGAATATGAGATAGTTCCTCTAGAACATTTTCCATAAAGGTTCCCTTCTTCTTAAGCAAGCCTTTGTATGCCATATCTTTAGTTAACCAAACAATCAATATAAAAATTACTGAACTTCGTTTCTAAACATTTAACGTTAAAACAGAAAAATAATTCTAAGAACTCTTACTAAGTAATTCAGTCAGAACATTAAAAAGCAGTTAAAATAAGCATGATAATAAATGTAAAGTAATTACAATACTCAAAGAATATCGCACTTAATTTAATTTTTGATAAAATAACAAATGATTTTTCCTCCTCTCTCTGCCTCGCAGAATGCATTTCAAAAATTATTTTAAGGTCTAAAAATTAATTTACATATCAAAAATAGCATTTAGCTAGAATTTAACGACAGGAAACTGACAAGGATGCCTATATTATTACTAATAATTAAGAAATCACGGTTCTGTGTGCCCAGAAGTGGCAAAAATAAATCTTTGATTAATAAAAAATTGTTTAGTCCGATGAATCTCGCATTTTGCTTCATCATATATATGATAAGATCAAAATATGATGCAAACATCATAATGAATTCTTGGCTCCATCTTACCATGATAGACCTTCAAGCTGGTTGCTGGGGGATTATGACCTGTGGACTATTTATCTGGAGAAATAGTGCGTAACTTCATATGTCTGAAAATGGCTCTTAACACAACATCTTCTGATCCTCATCATGAAAAATAAAAATTCTATGTCAAAAGAATGTGATGGCAGTACAATATTGTGAGTAGTTGTGAAAATTGCGCAGAAAAATGCACAGAAACTACCCGAATACCCGAATTCCTTAGAAAGGAGAAATTCATTTTGAACGCAAAGACACACTTATACGTACGAAAGCTGAGACAGATCTGCTGATTAAAGTGTGAAGTTTAACTTTACCCACTATAGAATATAAACATGAATTTATCAGACATGAAATTCTTTCCCTAATTGAATAAGCTCCTCCGAACAGCTCTTTTTCCTCTTCTTTCTTGCGAAAGAGGTTTCTACGTAGTACCCTACAACAAATACATATCTCATCCCGCAATATGGGCCTTTTTTTCCCTCTATTGAAAGTGGACTTCTCTTCTTTCCTCTATTTTAAAAGCGTATCACGTTCTTTCAATGTTTAACCGTTAGTAATACAATTTATGCAGTGTTTAGACTTACCTTTTTTTTTTAAAAAAAAAGTAACTTTTTTTTTTTTTTTTTTTTTCAACAGATGGGATTGACTGCCCCTCCAAATTTCATATTTTTTGCGTAAAGTTTGCGAATTGGTATATAGATTTCAAATATGAAATGAAAAAATAGGCAATTTTTGAAGGGGTTTTATTAAAAAAATTGAAGCAAGAACTCTACACAGAAGAATTGTAATAAAAAATTACTTGAAATAACATAACCCAAAGGGAGGAAAATAGAATGTATTATTTTGTAAATAAGTTCTAAACAACATTCACTACACTTAGCCAACAATAGATTCAAGGAGTGACATTGATAGTTTGATTAAGGAATTCACTGAATTTATCATGAATGCGCATAAAAGTGCCAACAAAAGGATCGAAAACCCAAAAGAAGGAAATAATTGCAAAAACTAGTTAAAGAAAGCAACGCAGCTAGGCGTTAATTTTACGGTCCCAAGCATCTATCAGACAAACAACGATTAAATCGACTGAATGACGCTGTTATGTCTCTACTAATTAGACACAACTCGACTAGACTAGTTACCTAAATTTGCTCTCTGCGAACAATAACTCCATTTGAAGAACTATCTCCATATATAAGAAATGCTATAGTAAAATTCCTCCCCTTAAAGGTCATCAAAAGATACATTACACAGAAACTAAAGAGTAGAGCTCTTATCCCAGCATCTAGGATCTCAGTGTTGCATAAACAACATATATGACACTACAAGAGAACATTTAATCTCTGATTTTCTTTCCAATCATACATCAAATCCACAAACCAACATCGTTCCAGTCCTCATCTCTAGCAGAATTATCAAGTTATTTTCTCTCAAACTAGTGTTCAAGCTCACGAATATTTTTAATATAATCCTGGGATGGCAATGTTTTCCTGAAGCATGGAAGAAGGCTACAATTCTTAAACCTAAAAAAACCACCCAAGACGTCTGAATCATACCACGTTATAAGTCTTCTACCCTCCATGAATAAAATCATGAAAACTCAGAGGAATCCACGATCATCTGGAAGCAAATATTATATACCACATTTCTTTGGATTCTGGAGAAATCTACCTACCTAGTCAGTTATGCGAAGTAGGTGAAATGGTTTCGGAGGTATGCAAACGAAGAAAGTCACGGATGACTTTTTTCTCGACCCAACCAAGGGTTACATTCGTGTCTGTCTGGATGCAGTCATCTATCAAATACATAATCTGGGTCTCCTACATTACATTGCCAACATAATTAAATCCTACCTGACTGGTAGACACATTATCGTTCACATCTCTGGTACATTTTTAATCCGCCGCGCTGTTTTAACCGGTGTGCTACAAGGGTCCCTATTAGAGCCTACCCTATTCAATATTCATGTGAACGACATTCCGCACACTACCAGCACCATACTTAAAAAGTATGCTGATGATCTTTGCTCAAAGTGCACTGCTTAGTCCAGTCATCCAAAATTTACAAAATCACCTACAGGCAGTGGAGACCTGGCTAAAACCAAATCAACATCGACAAAACGGTGGCTATCTTGTTTGCAAATAAAATAATATTAATGATAATTCCAAATTTATGGAACTAATCTCCCCCCCCCCATCCTAATACAAGCAAATTCGCTTATATTAGGATGATCGCTAGCGCGGACCTGATTCTCTTTTTCAGTCTCCCACTACTCTTTCTCCTCCTCCCAGATTCTTATCAGAAGTCGAGTAAAAAGATGTTTCTACTCGTACATCTTGACACTCGAGAATAAAATACGATATGTGTGTATTAGGGTGATCCTTACAAATTTTCTCTTATGGATCACACACATTACATCTATTATTATTATTGAGAAGTTTCAGGCTTGTATAGTTAGACTCTAACTGCTCGAAACAGAATTCAATCTATTGATAAGCTACTGATTTATATATCCATTCTGAGTCCCATGCTGTGTTAAAACCTGTCCAGTCCGGGCATATTCTTGCAAAACAAACAGAAACCAATTTCAGACTGACAGGAAACGTACACTGATGCAAATTAAAGATTCCCCACTGATCTTATATATTCGTAACAAAAAGGTACATGAAGAGCTAAAAGTATTCCAGCTATGGACTTATTACTTTTGTCAACGAGCTAAACGTTTTCACGAAAGCCAGGGACAAATCAATAATTCTGAAATAAAAATTTGTAACTAATATTTTCGTAACTCACATATCAAAAGGCCAATGGCCCTACCTAAATAATTGTGTAAAATCTGTACGTATATGTGTCATTAAGCTGTTATCGTGTACTTTTCTGAATTATCTGTATATAATGCACTTACGGCACCATTTGATTTGTACTTCCCTATTGCTTAGTCACCATTTCGATGGCCTTTTTGTTCAAGGAATTTGCAAGATGATTTTTCCCCTTTCCCTACACTTTACATGCTTATTATCGTATAAGTTTTATATAATCATCAAATGGGCTTCAAGAAAGAGCATGCTTATTATATTAATAGGTAAATTTTATATAATCATCAATCCTGCTTCAGGAAAGGATTTTTCAAATCATGCGTCGTAGAATATAT